CCAGGGAATTGTCCAATTTCTGACTTGGGCCAAAACCCAACACGCAACAACATACCAGACAAATTTCAATAAATACAGGTTTTATTTCACTGGGAAGCACGAGGAGCAGGAGGACGAGCAGTTCAAGGCTTTTTGTTAAAGCCGCACATCAATCCCGGAGACAGCCATCGGAGGTCAATTTCACGGTTAGCGGGTTTTGACATTTGAAATAGAACGGCCAACAATAGACCAACCGGTGCGTTCGCACACAGTTTGATCTATTTTGGGTTGATCTTTTTAATTTTAGCTGGTTCAAATGTGACATAAATTTAGATCTAGATCAGACCACCGCTAAAGATGCCCTAAAGCAGAATGATGTGCAACCAAGTGGTATAAAAGCTACAAAGACTCCTCCCATTATGAGTAGTTTGCTATCAAGTAGCGACACTGGCTCTTTTCCTTTTGCGTACACGGTGAATGAGAACGACCCAAATTTGAGTTTAGCGATGAGTAAATTTGTCTCATGGTTTCCTGTGGAAAACCTAAAAAATCTGCCAGAAAATGAGGAAATTGAAAGATATCGGCGCCGGTGGTTAGCGTGATTACATCTCATCCCAGCAGGCCTGGGTCCAATCTCAGTCGGCGCCACCGACATGTTCTAAGGCATAACATCTCTGATCACGCCTTCCTTCGGGATGTAAAGTCCTGGTGTGGGAGCTGCCTCCCTGGCGTCGGTAGCATTGGAGCTCAGTACGGAAAACAAATCTCGTGTCACTTTTCAATAGGTCCTATCTACATTGATCGATTCTCTTCATCGACACTCTCTTTCGTAAATAACTCGGCTTCACAAATGTGTCCTGCCGTCTTCGTCGAATAAGATGCTAGATGCTTCTTCCATCGAAAATATCCGGCCGTGGCGATTCAAAGTTGATCAAGGTTGATCAAAATAATTTGTACCCCTGCTTCCAGTTTGATTTCACGAGCATTTTGTGTGGTCGTTGGTTCTAAATATGGAAAAACAGGCAGATGAATTCTATTCCTACTCTTTACTGTAATAAGCTTGGTGGCCCTGAAAAGAGCCGTTTTGTTGCCAAAGTTGGTGATGATTTAACCTCCGAAACCAAACAGAGTGCGTCTCTGTCACTTCAAAACGTAGATGACATCCATGGCCGCTTACGTTTGGCGTGTTTAGTGTAGGTGACAGCATCACGGATCTCATTTTTCAGGAACACCTTCAGCACACCTCGTAAATCAGACCGGAGATACGCCAAACACCGCCACGGCGAGCCAGACGGATGGTAGTTATCTCGAAGAATTTGCGTTTGATTCTGAAAATGGCTATGAGTGTGCAAAATATTACGCAATTCCATCCTCCCTATTCGCACGCGCCCGAGGATCGGAGGCGAATGCCACTTCGACTTGTTTCGTCTACTTACTACTCTCTGACGACTGTGCTGGGAAAGCAGCATATGCATTTAGGTAATTGGTGGATTTGTTAGTTAATTCGACGCTTTTGGACAATGCTGGACTTTTACCAGTTTTTCAATAGTTTCTTGTTGAAAATTAACATTCGGAAGCATTATTATCGATGCGTAGCCATATTTCTGATCGATTGGTGATAAAATTATTGAAATTGGACCAGGGGTAGCTGAGTTATTAACGTTCAAAATCTTTCTTAATTTGTTACATGTTCCATTTTCGGTTTTCACAAAGTGTACCCCCATATAGAAATCAAAGACGTAGTTCTACGTCAAAAAAAAAACTGTCGCATTAATGGCCCTTCGCTCATTTTCAACTTCTATTCAATTTTCATACTGCCGTACTCTAACGGAACTATCCACCTACCCTCTTCTAATGATCATTCTCTAGCTAATAAATCATCACACTAAAGCTTCATGTTAGCATTTCTAACCAACTCTGAAAATCGTTAACTTCGCGTATGAAGTAACATAAAAACACATAACATAAAATGCATTGAATAATAGCTTCCAGAGTTGTACAAGAATGTAGTTGAATTGCCATTTGGTTGAAAGCTTCAAAAGCTGCTTGGAGCACTCTTAAATGATTGTTTACGTTCGACCAACCACCAACCACAATTTTGTTGCTAAAAATAGCACAAGTGATAGGCACGTTTATATGACCATAAGGCAATGATTATTCGACTGCAAGAGAACCCTAATAAAAAATAACCATAAACGAACGATAACCCAAATAATTGAACTTTTCCACTAATGGTTTGGAAGATACCCAGAACACGTCGTTAAGCAAAATAACCATAACAATTTTATTAGGGAAGTCACTCAAGATGAGCTTCATATACTTCTCTCATATGATCAAAATATGTATTCAAGAATAGAGCAGATGGAAACAGAAGCGGCTGGCAATCCGGGATCATGAGTTTGAATCTTGCTTCGAGAAACCCTCGGTGGAGTAGAGGTAAATTATATATAGGTGTTATTAATAAATGCAAACATTAATTTAAGACATATAATTATAAACGTGGGAGTACGTTTATGATAAAAAAAAATATTTGCACTAAATGTACATGATTAACACTAAATTTGCTAGCACAACTACTAACTTTTTCTACTCACTTCGAGAATTCAACACTAACTAACTGTTCGAGGTCCAATCGAACCCTATTTAATACTTAAAATAGCTTATTCTACAAAATGCTCCTCGTCTGGTCGCGCTGCTCCGAGTCTGCTGACGATGGCTTGGTGACAGCGGTGGCGTGGCGATGGTCTGATTGTCGTGTGCACTTTGGACACTCTTACTCAGCGGTATTCTAGGCTGCTGGCGTGTAACTATAAATCATATAATCAACGATAACATTTCTAGATAAATTCTCTCAATTAATGATTAGAGAGATTAATTGAAAGAATATCAATCAAAGATTAAACAGATGCTTGTTACTACTTCCTCCATGATCACAGAATGTGAATTATGGCATAATTACATATTTTTTCAATGTGCACAAATAAATTAAATTAATAAAAACTGTACAAGCAATTATTTTGACGTACCACGACAATTGTTAAACTAATTTTAATCTGTGAATATTGTGAGTACTTACTCAACGGGTATTAAGGAGTCATTAAAAAGTGCTAATAAACGCTTTTCACCGCTTGCTGCATAGTGATTATTTAGGAGTAATAAAAGAGTGTAACAAACGCCTCTCAGGTTTCCTCTCTACTAAATTTCAAAGCAGCTGTCAGGAAGTGTCTACAAACGTTGTATAAGAGCTTTCACCAAAACAATAAAGCTTGACTTTAAACATGTATCTATAAACGTTGTATAAAAGTTGCTTCTACTCCTATACCGCGTATACATATAATGCTGTAGTTGAACAGGTTCTCCAAACCAGTGTAAACAAGAGTTTTACAGAAGTTGTAATAAACAAATTGTACAGTTATTATTCAGCATGCAGTTGAATAAAATCACAATGGAAGCGTTTCTTCAACAAGAAATTGATTTTGGGTAAACGTTTTACTGAATACGTTAGACAACACCTTTGTGTTGCAGTTGTATAGGTTCTCCAAACCAGTGTAAACAAGGGTTTTATAAAAGTTGTGGTGAACACATTGTGCAATTATTATTCAACATGCAGCTGAACAAAATCAAACTGGAAATTGTACTTGGGTGTGGATTGGAAGCAACTTTGGTTGGAAGCGAGCCGCTTTTTTACGAACGTGACACACAATGAAGAAGTGTTAGTTTGTTTACTTAAATGAACTATGATCATTTTGTGTGGAAAGTTTTGCTATAAGAAATGCTCCTTCTGTTCACATCAAAGATTGCTCACTGGCGTAGGAAATCAATTTGGCAATTCATTTGTGATCAGCATACACCTTCGGGACGTATGAAACAGGTCCAAATCTGTCCAAATCCACCCGTAACTTTGTTTGTTTTGGCATTCCTTATGGCAAAATAGTGAACTTTTCATGAGCATTAACGGCAAATAAGTCGCCAACACTAGCGGCCCCACCTGTAATTATCCACCTTGGGTTGGGAGCAGTTCAAGCTCGACGAACGTTGAGCTTCAGGCCTAGTTCTGTCCATATAGTTCCTTTAAACAACCTTGAATTCCTCATGAAGTTAGGTTTGATTGTATTAGAATATTACTCATAAATTTCCCAGAATACTTGCGGAATATGTGATGAAATTTTAAATTTTCCAGCTAAATTGCCTAGGAATTTCAAAATTTTACGAAGTTCTTCTTCAAGCACAGTGCAACTACATCGTTGCATGTTTTAATACAACATGTCTCATAACACTCGTTCCATGTATCTTAGGGGAAAAGCGTTGCATATGTTTCCCCTTCAAAGCATAACGGTGAGCGCTTCCAGTTGGGGAAAACAACTCACCCCAGTTCCAACAAACTGCCAGCTGAACCGCTTCCAATGCAACCGGTTCTTCCTTTCGGGTACTGTTGCTCGCTCTCTCTCTTCCTCTCTTTTTCTCTTCTACCGATGAGAAAAGTGCGAGCAAAGGATGCTGCGAAAGGCAGCCAGCATCCTTCCGTTATCACACTCTCGCAGCTCTTGTTCTCTTTCTCTCTGTTGATTATCATCTCGGCGAAGCACTCACGCGAGCACTGTCTACTGTGCCGTTCTCAAAGGATCATCAGGATAATGCTTTGTTTATTTTGCACGTTTATTTACCGTATCCGGACGCGAGGAGTAGGCAATGGACCACACCGCATGCATGGCAGTCCCTCGTTCGCTCGCGAGATGCCATCCGTCGACGTCGTTCACGGTCGTCGTGCTCGTGGATGCGAGCGAAAGCAGTGAGCGGAGAGCATCTCGGTCGGATGCTGGTGCGTTTATCTCACATGCTGCTGGGAGAGTTCCACGATGAAGAAAGAAAAATGTATCACTGAGCGTGACAATATCCCCCGCCTGACTCTTGCCATTTTTGTGGAGGATCCCTCCCTGATTCGCCAGCCACACTTGGTTCTGGAATTACATCATATCTTTCTGCACAAATCTGCACCAAATTAGTGAGAGTTTTACTTTTAAACCGTGCGGTCACGTTTCGGGAGCCGGATGTCGAAAGCGTCGTTTGCGATTGCGAATTCACTGCTGGGACTGCTGGATGCAGCGGGATGTGATTTATCTAGTTGGTACTACCATTACTGCTACTAGGGTGGTTGGCGATGTTTGTTGTGTTCGATTGACGACGTTCCCAGAAGTCCGGTTTCGAGCCAAGCTCGATGATGACAATTCGCTAGGATTGAATTACTCAAGTTGTAAGGATTCAATAAGTGCTTTCACGCAGATTGTGTTAAGGATCTGACGCGGGGCGAATGAAGGAAAACAACAAGGATTACAACAAAGATCGGGGGGCGCTGACATCTGGATGAAAATGCTTTCCTTGTGTGCGGTGCGAGATTAGAAGATAGAAGCCTTATCTGCTGAATACCCTTCTGTCAATCTACGTAGTGCTAGTGACAATCTCAACTAGAACTAGAAACCATAGGGATGTCTAAGTGGTAGAACGTGGAAGAAGAGGCCGACTTTCCGCCCCACGAGGGCGATTACTGCGATAAGTGCCAAGCGAGTTCGGGAAATCGATCCCTCTTCGTAGCGCTCTCCCATCTCCCAGCAGATCGACCCATTCGCGTCGGGTTGGGAAATTTATGGTGGTAAAGATTGTGTTTTCCCTGGTGTGTAGTCCTCGGTTTGCGACGTGATATCCGCCACCTCACAGAACTCACAGACGCTCGGGATGTGAAGCGGTTTGATTACAGTTGATTTCGGACGGTATCTGTGTTCTTCCTGTGCCCAGGATCGAACAAGAAAAAAAAAACATACACACAAACGGAAGTATCTTTCGTTCCGTTCGCCGGCTGTTTGCAGCGCTGCCGAGGAGATACAAAGAGGACTAGCGCGAAAAGGCGCGCACTCGGGTTGGGGCTAATGTGCGATTCTTGGCCTGCTACTGGTGTGAAGTGATAAATTAATTAATTTTCCCTCCACTCTCTGTTCGCTGTTTGCCGATTTCTTCTGGTCGAAATATCTTCGGATGCGATCGCGGTAGGCTAGGCCAGTGCGGGAGAAAAGGCTCGAGTGGTTTCTGGTGCGAGCAAAGGGAAAAGATAAGCAAGCGAATATAAAAGTTTCCCGCTGTGTGATGGCGAGTTCGGTGTAATTAGAGAGAAGAAAAGCAGGCCGAGGGGGAAAGGGTAAATTGGAAATCCGGGTTTCGGTCCCGCAAACAGTGGCGAAGGAGCTTAGCAGCCCCACCGCAAAAGGCAAGGGTCGAAAGTGCAAGTGTGTGTTCGTGAAAGTGTGAGTGCATGTTTAGTGGGTGGTGTGAAATTTTTCCTACTTCTAAACAACCAACCAACATATAGTGGAAAGCAGGAAGAGAAGATCAGAAGAAGAGTAAGAAGAAGCGGAGTGATGCCTACCCGGTGGTGGAAGGAAAACATGAACCGGGCGGTTCGGGTGGATCTGCTGCCAATGTTCCTGTTGGTTATGGTGGCAGTGCTGCTGCAAGGATTACTCCCAGTTGCCGCTTCTGCGGTCAAGGATAGTGAATATGAAAACAGTAAGCGACATCCCACATGCATTGTTGATTTTGTTGTAGCTCTTCCATATTGTTTATTCAATGACACCGTATAAATCTTGCAAACCAGCTTAAATATTGGAACCAGTTTTCTTCGAGGAATGTGTGATGGTTCGGTAGGGTTCGGATTTACCATCAACCTCTTGGTCAAACGCCGGTGGTTAATGATTTACCAGAATGGGGATTGCTCGTTACTTGACAGGTTAAGAAAAAGATACAATCCCATCTGAATGGGTTGATGGACGTATAACGTGGTGGAGGTTTCGCTTTTGATGCCTCTCCGATCCTAAGATTGTAGCGAGTGGGATGATTTGGTCATCTGAAACCCACACTGGTGGATGTATATAACATAGGCGAATGTCAGGGTGTCTACTACCTTGAAAAACCTGGAAAACCGGGAATTCTCAGGACATTTTGAAATTCTCAGAAAGCAAGCCAAAAGCAATTCTTAAAAATATGAATAGAGAATATTAAAGTACGAATTTCACAACGTTTTATAATAAAACCAACTCTATCTTCCTTGTTGTTCACTTTTACTCATTGAACATACTAACTCTGGGATGGATTTACCTTCAGTAAAACATACGTTCTGAAACTTGAGTAGTGTTTTTATGGGATCTGAAGCATGGGTATTTGATACAAAAAATTAACATAGAACATTGTTTAAATGCCTTGAACTTATCAAATCAGACATGGAGAAATCTTGAACGAACATAAATATTGAAGATATTGAATATTTTCATAGAATCCACATGTTTTTTTTTTATAAAAGGCACATGCAAAAGTTTTACAATTTATGGACTTTAATTAATAAATTTGATTAGAATTTCCAAGGAACTCTAGGGATAATTTCAAAGGAATTCAGAGAAGAATTCCAAGGATAGAATTGTTAGGAAAGCTTGAAGTGAAATCTGAAGATTCTTTTCAAGTTAGTTTCATTGAATTCCTGATTCCAGGTAAAACGACAACAGCATTATGAGGAGGATGTCAAGGTAATTCTTTTAATTTTTTTTTAATGATGATGATGGTCCCACCTCTTACCCCTACAAAGGTTTGAGCTGGACGATTTATCTTTAAGATAATTGAATATGACATTTTAACCAGGTTGGGAAACAAAATCGAAGTGGTTTCAGTTACATATATAAATTCCCTCTAGAGTTTACAGTTGCTTCACAGCGATATAAATGTGGAAAAGCTCAGGCGTCCACCTCTTAGTTCGCCTTTTTGTCCACCTAAAATATTCATAAGTATTACAAGCAATCAAGAGTTAATGAACAATCAACAAAGCATCCTATTACACTAGCAACCCCGCAATCTGATGCTATCATAATTTTCAGCAATGTCAGGAATGCTCACGAACCCCTAACATTTGCAAGTAAACTTACTACTAACTCAAGGTATCTTTCAAATAAGCTTCAAAATTGCATTTTTTTTATCAAATGTTGAATTCAGTCCTCTATATTCGTAATACGCGCGCGAGGCTCAAACCTTTGTGGACTACTTTTTTTTTAATTAATCTACTATTAAATCAAATATTAAAAATCCATCATCGTGGCGAACAGAAATAGTTTTTGCAGTGCTACAATAATTATTAAAAAGTCGTTATGACAGCTATCCATATAAAATAATCCGTTAGAGATAACTAATTCTGAAGGGAATTCCATGAGAGTTCTGACTAAAATTGCAAAGTAATTTTTAACAGTATTCTAAGGGATTTGTAAGAACTCAAAGGTTCTTGTGAGTGCTGAAAAGAATTCAATGAAAATTTTCGGGATAGTTAAAAGGAAATTCTACGGAAAGTTTCAAGGAAATTTCCAAGAAAATTTTGAGGTAAATTTTAAAGGAATTCTCAGGAGAGTTTCAAGGCTATTCGTGAAATATTGTTTTTAGAGAACTCAAAAAAGAATTAATTGAAAATTATGAGGAGCGTTTCATGGGATATAAGGGAATTCCGATGAAAAATTCTTGGGAATTTCAGGACAATGGTTATTGAATACAGAGGAGGGTTTAATTCAGGAGAATTCTTTGAGAAATCCTTGGTAATACAGCGAACCCAAATTAATAATTTTAAGAGAATTTCAGAGTGAATCAAAAAGCCTTCTATAGAGCCTTGGTAACGTATTATGGAGCAAACATTCTGGGGATAGTTCCAAAGGAATTCTAACGAAAGTTTCACGGAAGTTTCCGCAGAAGTTTTGAGGTAAATTTTAAAGAAATTTGCAATATTTTTTTAAGGAACTCAAAAACCAATTCCTTGGAAATTATGAATGCACGGGACTACTACAAGATAGCTCTGTGTGGAATTTGCAGGAAATTCTGAAGATAATTCTTTGGGAATTTTAGGAGAATAAGTCAATACTGAGGAGAATTCATTGGGAATTCCTAGGAAACACAGCGAACCCAATTAACAATTTTAGGAGAAACTTTGAGTGAATCTAAGAGCCTTCTATAGAGCCTTTTTAAAGCATAACGGAGCAAACATTCTGGGGATAGTTCCAAAGAAATTCTAAGGAAAGGTTCACGAAAGTTTCCGAAGAAGTTTCGAGGTAAATTTTAAAGGAAATCTTAGGAGAGTTTCAAGGCTATTCCTGTAATAGCATTTCATGGAATGTACAGGACTTCTTCTAGATAATTATGTGTGGATTTTGATGAAAAGTCCGAAAATAATTCCTTGGGAATTGTTGGGCAATGGTTAGTGAATACTGAGGATGGTTCGATTCAGGGGAAGTTTTTGGGAATTCCTAGGTTATATCATGAACACAATTAAGAATTTTAAGGGAATTTCAGAGTGAATCGAAGAACCATTTATAGGGCATTTTTTTAATGTTACGGAGCAAACATTCTGGGGATACTTCAAAAAGAATTCCAAGGAAGTTTCACGGAAATGTCTGAAGAAGTTTTAAGGTAAATTTTAATTCAATTCTTAAGAGAGTTTTAAGGCTATTTGAGCAATATTTTTTCAGCGAACTCTAAAAATAAATCCTTGGAAATTATGAGGAGCATTTCATGAAATGTACGGGACTACTCCAAGAAAATTCTTTGTGGAATTTAAAAGGATGTCCGAAGATAATTTATTGGAAATTGTACGAGAATAGTTAGTGAATACTGAGGATGGTTTAATTAAGGAGAATTCTTTGGGAATACCTAGAATTTTCAGAGACTTTCAGAGTGAATAGATGAGCCTTCTATAGAGTATTTTTAAAGTATTACGGTGCATGCATGTGGATAGTTACAAAGGAATTTTGCGCAAAGTTTCACGGAAATTTCCGAATAAGCTTTCAGGTAAATTTTAATGGAATTTTTAAGAGAGTTTCAAGGCTATTCCTGCAATATTTTGTTTCGAGAACTCAAAAACGAATTCCTTGCAAATTATGAGGAGCATTTTATGGAATGTACTGGAATACTCCAACCGAATTCTGTGCGGAATTTAAAAGGAAGTCCAATGATAATTCCATTGGAATTTCAGGAGAATGATTGAGGAGGGTTTAATTCAGGGGAATTCTTTGGAAAGCCTAGGTAATATAGCGAACCAAATTAAAATAAATTAAAAGAATTTAGAGTAAATCAAAGAGCCTTCTATAGAGAATTCTCCAATTATTACGCAGCATACATTCTGGGGATAGTTCCAAAGGAATTCTAAACAAAGTTTCACGGAAATTTCCGAAGAAGTTATGAGGTAAATTTTAATGGAATTTTTAGAGGAGTTAAGGCTATTCCTGCAATCTTTTTTTTTTTTTTTAGAGAACTCAAAAAAGAATTCCTTGAAAATTAAGAGGAGCATTTCATGGAATGTACGGAACTACACCAATTGAATTCTGCGTGGAATTTAGAGGGAAGTCCGAAGATAATTCCTTGGGATTTTTTTGGAGAATGGTTGGTGAATACTGAGGAGTGTTTAATTCACGGGAATTCTTTGGAAATTCCTAGGTAACACAGCTAACCTAATTATTGATTATAAGAGGATTTTAGAGTGAATCAAAGAGCCTTCTAGTTTTGAGGTAAATTTTAATGAAATTCTTAGGAAATTTTCAAGGCAATAGCATTTCATGGAATGTAAGGGACTATTCAAAGAGAATTCTGTGTTGAATTTAAAGGGAAATCCGCAGATCATTCCATGGGAATTTTAAGGGGAATAGCTAGTGAATACTAGAGGATTAAATTAATGAGAATTCTTTGGAAATTCCTAGGTAAAACAGCGAACCCAATTAATAATTTTAAGACAATATCAGAGTGTATCGAGCCTTCTATAGAACATTTTTAAAGTATTACGGAGCAAAAGTTCTGGTGATAGTTCCAAAGGAATGTTGGGAAAAGTTGCACGGAAATTTCCCATGAAGTTTTGAGGTAATTTTTAAAGGAATTTTTAGGAGAGTTTCAAGGCAATTCCTGAATTTTTTTTTAGATAAACCAAGAGCCTTCAATAGAACATTCTTTTTTATTACGGAGCAATCACTCTGGGCTAGTTCTAAACGAATTCTAAACAAAGTTTCACGGAAATTTCTGAAGAAGTTATGAGGTATATTTTAATGGAATACTAAGGGGAGTTTAAAGGCTATTCCTGCAATATTTTTTTAGAGAACTCAAAAAAGATTACCTTGGAAATTATGAGGAGCATTAGAATGTACGGGACTACACCAACAGAATTCTGCGTGGAATTTAAAGGAAGTCCGATGAAAATTCATTGGGATTTTTTTTTGAGAATAATTAGTGAATACTGAGGAGGGTTTAATTCAGGGGAGTTCTTTGGAAATTCCAAGGTAATACAGCAAACCCAATTAATGATTTTAAGAGAACTTCAGAGTGAATCAAAGAGCCATCTTTAGAGAATTTTTAAAGTTGCAAGAGATATTATTTTAAAATAAATATTTAGTTTTGAACTTATAAAACTTTAAGATTATGCTAATCAATGTTATTTTCTACTTAATAATGAAGTGCTGAATCGACCTTACTGAAACAAATTATTGACTCTTGGAATCATATAT